TCCCCTCTCTCTCAGTCTCCCTCTCTCTCAGTCTCCCTCTCTCTTAGTCTCCCTCTCTTTCAGTCTCCCTCTCTCTCTCTCTCTCTCTCTCTCTCTCTCTCTCTCTCTCTCTCTCTCTCTCTCTCTCTCTCTCTCTCTCTCTCTCTCTCACAAGAATCACTATGGGAGATTCTGAGACTTAGGGAGATTCCGACATGGGTTATTGGTCTAATAGCAAGCCTATATACTGGTACTGAAAGTGTATAGTGTGGTGGGAGCCAGTCAAACTTCCTCCCTGTTAATTCAAGGGTGAGGCAAGACTGTATCCTTGCAAGGTTTCAGACCTTGTCTTTGCCGATGATGTTGCTATCCTATCTGAGTCCCTGGGGTCACTGGTGGCAGCTCTTGATTCATTTAGCAATGGACCAAGACCAAGATTAAGGACTTTAGGGGCCTGTTAGGGGAACCCATTCAGTTGATCCTTGCTTGCAGTGAAGTCACAAAGAGCTTTGTATACCTTGATAGTGTAGTCCATATCTCTGGGCTGTCAGACCAAGAAGTCAGTAAATAGATTGGTCTGGCAGCATGAGCCATGAACTCAATCAACAAAAGCATTTTGAGATGTCAGTACCTATGCAGAAAGACCAAGCTACATGTATTCAGGGCCTTGATACTGCCAGTTTTGTTCTATGGAAGCAAAACCTGGACTCTCTCTAGTGCCTTGGAGTCTCGTCTTGATGCCTTTTGTAACAAGGCTATGTGGGTACCTAGCTCATTTACCTGTGGATGATCCTACCCATCAGGTTATTGACAATTCTGGGTGGAGGAGGCCTATAGGACAACCTAGGAGGTCATGGCTTGGGCAGCTGCCATGATGAGTTTGAGATGGGCTGAGGGTCTGCCTGGAGACTCGTCATGAGGGATCCTCGTGTCTGGAAGCAAAGGGTAGATGCGGCCATGCGTCCCCGTCAGCATTAGCCATTACTAATTATCCATTCATTCTCTTTCCATCTCACATTCATTCATGCGCTCTCTTTCAATCTCTTTTTCATTCTTTCTTTGTCTCACTCACCTATTGATTCGTTCTCTCTCTCTCTCTCTCTCTCTTATCATTCTGCCTTAGACACCAATGGCATCCGTGTCCACAGACTGGTTCGCCTGAATTTTACAATAATAAAATTTTAAAAGAAAAACTGATCTGCTGCATATTCGTGTGAATGTCATACCCAAAATAAAGATATCTGATGAAATATTTGTCAATCCTAGTAAATTGATAGACCATAGAATAAATAGATTAATAGATATGAATGACATACAGCATCGGCCAATTGCTTGGTGTGACACCTTCAATGCTCCCCCGCATTTTTTCAAGAATTCAAGTTTAGTTTTATGATCAAGAGCATTTTCCATCATTGTTGATAACATAAGATGATTCCAAAGAATATTTTTTGCGCAAATAAAGGCAAAATTGGACCTTTAAAATTTCTAAATCACTTGTATATATATAGAATAAGCAAGTAGAAAATCATTTGTTTTCATGCTACATAATGTGTTCCTGTGTGCACTTATGTTGCTTGTTTTAGTATGAAAACCCATGAAATCCTTGTTTTGTTGGCTTATGTACATATATTATATACATATGTGATTAATACAGATACACACAGAAAAAAAAAACAGTAAGTAAAGACTTGTAGTAATGCATTATGGGCATGAAGCTCTTTTTTAATTATAGGTAAATTTAGGTTATTAGATAGTTTTCCATTTATAATCATACCACTTATAGAAAAGAGATATATGGGTTTGTATCATAAGCTCCTGTTAATAGATTAAATAATATTTTCAGATGAGAAAAAATATGCGTTAATTGCTGTTAAAGCTTCTTTTTGTCATTTTATAAATTTAGTATATTTTTTTTACTGCAGGTATTTATATTTCATAAACAATGATTGTTTTCTGTGTATGACATTTAGGCAAATTTATATTGTTGCAGTGTATCTTCTGCCTTCATCTCTCTCTCTCTCACTCTCTCTCTCTCTCTCTCTCTCTCTCTCTCTCTCTCTCTCTCGATCTCTCTCTCTCTCTCTCTCCTCTCTCTCTCTCTCTCTCTCTCTCTCTCACACTCTCTCTCTCTCCCTCTCTTTCTCTCTCTTTCTCTCTCTCTCTCCCTCTCTTTCTCTCTCTTTCTCTCTCCCAGCCGCCTTCCCTCCCCATCCTTCCCATCATCCCTCTCCCTCACCCTCCAACCCTCACTTTCCCCTCTTCCCCCCCCCAGCCTTCCCCATCTCTCACATATCTCAGAAGCGAATTAACCACCCTCCATCTTCTCCCTTTTCTCCCTCCCCCCCCCCCACACACACAGGAACGTGCCGGTGGATGACTACAAGAAGATTCGAGAAGGCATCATCCGGTGCATCCTGGCGACGGACATGGCGAGACACAACGAGATCTTATCGGACTTTCGAGAAATTACTCCCGAGTTCGACTTTAATGAGAGATCTCACATTAATCAAGTAGTTTCCCTTGGCTTTTGTTGTTTGATGATTGTTTACTTAGTGGTATTGGTGGATAGGTGTGTGAGTGTAAGAGAGAGAGAGAGAGAGAGAGAGAGAGAGAGAGAGAGAGAGAGAGAGAGAGAGAGAGAGAGAGAGAGGGGGACGGAGGGAGGGAGGGAGGGAGGGAGAGAGGGGGGGTAGGAAGGGAGGGAAAGAGAGAGAGGGAGAGGGAGAAGGAGAAGAAGCTAGGGAGAGAGAGGGGGGAAGGGAGAGAGAGATAGAAAGGGAGGGAGAGAGAAAGAGACAAGGAGAGAGAGGGAGGATAGACAGGGAATGGAGGGAGAGAGAGAAGGAAGGAGGAGAGAGAGACAGAGGAGAGAGGGAAGGAGAAAGAGGAAAGAGGGAGAGAGAAGAGAAAGGGAAGGAGAGAGAGACAGAGGAGAGAGAGAGAGAGAGAGAGAGAGAGAGAGAGAGAGAGAGAGAGAGAGAGAGAGAGAGAGAGAAGGAGAGAGGAGAGAAAGAGAGAGAGAAAGAGAGAGAGAGAGAGAAGAGAGAGAGAGAGAGAGAGAGAGAGAGAAGGAGAGAGAGAGAAGGAGAGAGGAGAGAGAGAGGAAGAGAGAGAGAGAGAGAAAGGGAGAGAGTTAATGAGAGAAAGAGGGGGAGAGAGGAAGGAGAGAGAGATAGGGACAGAGGAAGGAGAGAGAGAGAGGGACAGAGGAAGGAGAGAGAGAGAGGGACACGAGGAAGGAGAGAGAGAGAGGGACAGAGGAAGGAGAGAGAGAGGAGAGGGACAGAGGAAGGAGAGAGAGAGAGAGGGACAGAGGAAGGAGAGAGGAGAGAGAGGGACAGAGGAAGGAGAGAGAGAGAGGGACAGAGGAAGGAGAGAGAGAGAGGGGACAGAGGAAGGAGAGAGAGAGAAGGAGAGGAGAGAGAGAGAGAGAGAGAGAGAACATATGTTTTTTAGTGTATGTACGTGTGTGCATGTGTACGCCTGAGTGTATTTGTACGTCTTTGTTGAAGTAGATGATTTATTTACCCATTTTTGAAGTAGCATTACAGTATGTTGGACTCTTGAACATTCCAGCTCTGACACTTGAAAGTACTTCTGGCAATCGATATAAAGTTTACAAATTTATGATCACACTATTAAAAGCATAATTTCCCTCATAGAGTGACATTCTGATTTTGCATTTGCTCATCATTGGAAATCTTAGCTGATAAATATTGTTTTAGTCTCCCTTCGTCTGTTTTCTCTCTCTCTCTCTCTCTCTCATCTCTCTCATCCTCTCTCTCTCTCTCTCTCTCTCTCTCTCTCTCTCTCTCTCTCCCTCTCTCCCTCTCTCCCTCCCTCCCTCCCTCCCTCTCCCTCTTCCTCGCCCTCTTCCTCTTCCCCCCTCCCTCTCCCTCTCTCCCTCCCTCCCTCCCTCCTTCCCTCCTTCCCTCCTTCCCTCCTTCCCTCCCTCCCTCCTTCCTTCCTTCCTTCCTTCCCTCCTTCCTTCCTTCCCTCCCTCCATCCCTCCCTCCCTCCTTCCCACCCTCCCTTACCCAAGTCGTTTTATTAAACACATCACTTTCTTTGCAGCTGTCAATGGTCCTAATAAAAGTGGCCGATATTAGCAACGAGGCACGACCCCTTGACATTGCAGAACCATGGCTCGAGTGTCTTCTGGAGGTAATGTTGTGTTCTCTATTTTTTCATATATATATTTTTTTTCTTCTTCTTCTTCTTTTTTTTTTTCTTTCTTTTTTTGTTTTTTCTTTCGTTTTTTCTGTGCCGTATCAGAGCCTGACGTTGGCGACCATGTTTAATTTCAATGTTGTACAAGGAACTGTACGAAGGTGGTTTCCCGTTGCCTTCCTTCGGGTGATTGAAGAGTTCACCGTCTCTCTTTCCCTCATTCGCTCCATTGACTTTCACTATACACATTCACACATCCATTCATACCATCAGGCAATTGAGGTGAAGTTCCTTGCCTAAGGGAACAACGCGCATATCACTGTAGGTGTCATTATTTCAGACGCTCCGTAAGCGTCGCCTCCAATTATATATATATATATATATATATATATATATATATATATATATATTGTATATATATGTATATATATATATTAGATATATTATATATATATTAATATATATAATTTATATATATATATATATTAGATTATATATAATATAGACACACACACACACACACACACACACCACACACAAACACACCACACACACCACACACCAGCACACCACACACACACCACACAAATATATATACATAAATAGTATACACATATGTGTATCTGTGGTCTGTGTGGTGTGTATGTGTAGATGGATAGATAGATAAGATGGATGGATGTAAGATATAGATATTCATAGTGATATAGATAATGATATAAATAATAGATTGACTATATATGTGTGTGTGTGTGCATGCGAGACACGGCATGTACACACACTCACACAAGTACCACACATCACACACACACACACACACACCACACACACACAACACAACACACACACACACACACACACACACACACACACACACACACTCGGTCACACACACACACACACTCGGTCACACACACCGGTCACACCACACACACACACACACTCGGTCACACACACACACTCGGTCACACACACACACACACACACACACACACACACACACACACACACACACACACACACACACACACACACACACTCGGTCACACACACACACACACACACACACTCGGTCACACACACACACTCGGTCACACACACACACACACACACACACACACACACACACACACACACACACACACACACACACACACACTCGGTCACACATATATAGATATAGATATATATGTGATATGGATGGATGGATGTATAAACACGCACACGCACACACATTCCTCCAGTGTGATTAATCCGTCACCTTTTATTTCTGCAGGAATTCTTCAACCAGAGTGACCTAGAGAAACTGGAAGGGCTCCCGGTCACGCCCTTCATGGACCGGGAGAAAGTGACGAAGCCCTCGTCCCA